AAACCTTCAAAAACCAGTATGCAGTATATGTTGATAAATGCCTATAAATATTCCAGTAATTATCTTTTAAGATTGTAAATAATTGTAATCTTCTAATGAGCCTTGTAGCTCTGCTCTCTATACACGCGTAAGGACAATAATTCTGTACAGGAAATCTTATTTGCTTCCTCATTAATACCGATCGAAACGCTATATCATTATTATGATAACAGCAATGCGACAGACAGACAGAAGTATGAGATCGTTTTTCTGTGTCTGATTAATAAAAATATCCGTGAACAATCATTCCTACAGGTGATTTTACCTCTCGGTATCATCGACTCTCATAACGCTAATTATATTCACTTCCATACAATTACAAGGTACCCTTCCAACAGCATGACTATTTTCCAACCTACGAATACCGCACGGAGTTATACAATAGACACCACCATACATACCTTCCGGCGTAATGAGCGGTCTTTCCGGCGTTGCTTTGGCTCTTTCAAAAGCCTACCTTGATGATAAATGTCTTTAAATTGGAGATAAGGTCACGAAATTATGATTTCTCAGATTCTGGATTCTAATTAAGCTGTTTAGTGCAACATTCAAATCGTCAGTACAGCACAATGACATCGTACAGAGAACGTCCACCTGAGAAATCCACGCTGACGTCATGTTGATTTCCTATAGGTGCTTCATAATAGGTATATATCAGACTGACTCGTCAAATCTTCAGCAAATGGTATACTTAAAACAAGAAGTATCTCGGAGATATTTCTATTTCATCAGTGTCTACTGTAAATCATTGAGAAATCATAAGATGGCGTAGAATTTGCAAGCTAAACAATTTACGATATTACATGGAGTTTTGAGGTTTGATAACACCTTATTTTGACTTAATTTGTTAATACAATAAACATCCTACACAATGGAAATAAAAATAGGTGTCTAAGGCACTAACCTTTATGTCCCACTCGATATTGTATCCATGATAACACCTTTTGTATTTACGTACTTCTGTATAGCAATGATTGGTTGAATTATTGTTAAGCTTTATTTTCTGTTAACAGGAAATTTGAATAATTCAGTATTGTACATGTCTTCCTGTCAGATCAGCTTTTAACATATAACTTCATTTATGTGTGTACATCTTGTTTCCATCCATTGAAAGAGAATTATCGTCAGGTAGTAATAATTCAACATTATTGTTAAATGATAAACCGTGTAAGAACCTGTTATATTTGTGACCACGTATACCTAATTCGGACAGGACAATATCTCGCCAAATAAATAGTCATCCAAAGAACTGCACTGCAATAGTAATCGGACGAAATATATAATTGATCTTTCGGGTACTAAAGTCGAAATACAGAGGTGTTTCCTATCTGTATAATTCTTTGTTTGTTCAAGATAGGACTTTAACAGAGAGATGGACAGAATTGATCAAGCATTTAGTGTAAGGGTACCTTATTTGTCAATTTAAAAATGTCATAAGTGATTGCTGATCGTGAAAAGTTTGCCTATATAGTGATTGATAAAGGTTTAGTCAGAATTCCTGGTAACGATACGCTACTCAGAGGATGATCGTTATACACTGTATAAACATTCTGATGTATATCGATAGGAGATTGTACAAAAGACACACAAGTGAATATTACCTTTCAATACAAAGGAAATACCTGTATTAGATAAAATAGGAACAAATAATGAAATACACGGCATCGTCCAGCTATTTCGTCCTAGTACTCGTCAGTGATGCTACTTCATACAGATGTTTCATCCTTCTAGGACTCATCAGTGATGCTACTTCGTCCAGTTGTTTCGTCCATCTAGGACTTGTCAGTGATATTGAGGGTCCACATTCTGATACCTTGGAGGCAAGTGAAGAAATTCAAAACTGATCGAAAGAAATGTCAAAACCTAGATGGAAAGGTGCACTAGTCCCAAATATTTCAATGAATTTCGTAGTTTCCATATATCTGATATTTTAAAAAGTAAGCCAAGTGCAGATGCGTTTATAAAACTAGATCGTTTTAAGAGCTTGTCTCCCATAAAAAAATAATAAAAAGTAGCGCTTATGACCTATTATTGACGGTAAAGAATTATATATATCACTTACATCATAGGGACTTGGTAACAGTTGGGACTTCCTGCCAAATCCCTGTGGATCATATCATTCATAGAGACCAGGGATACTGTATAGGGGTACCAAAACGTTAATCAGTGTCCAGTTAAACGGGAGTTACTTAAGGAGTGAATTGATAAAGGAGAAATACATATTTAAAGCACGGGCGTGATGGGCATTTGAAAAAGGAGTGTGTGGGACCAAATGGGAGTTATGGACCTTGTGCTTGTTTGTTTGACTCAACATCACCTCGGGTATGAATTCATTTTCAGAGGTAACATGTCATGTTTGATGTTATTTAAACCTTAATGTTGTACATAATTGTTTAACTTGTAAACATGTACATGTCTTCATATACAATGTATGTCATTTTGTAACCTTTCCAATCTGATTTGATTGCAAATCTATATAAGGATGTTAGTAAATGTTATCATGTACATGTACAACTAGATATTTAATGATGGGTATGTTGCACTAATCTGTCCTTCTGTGAACGTATACATTACTTTCAAACAAGTATATGGAAAATTACACTGCTTATTGTCTGTTATTGAACCCTAAGCCTAAGTAAGGCACCAGATTGTAAATGCCATGGTGTAGATGGGATTAATCACTCCTGCAATCCACCAGTTCTATCACATAATCCACCTATGAATTATGACACAATAAAGTGATTTGTAGCAAATGATTTCGACATCCATTTTTTTTTACATTAAAACCCGTCAAAATGTCATTTTACTTTATGTGATTAAAAAGATTAATTTGTTTTCATTTCGTAAGAGTTATGAAATTCGTCTTGACATTTTAGTATCACTTTTCCATCTTCATGTTTAAGTTTTCTCAATCATTCTTCTTGTCCAAATGATCATCAAAATGAGGCATGTTGTTCTTAATAGTATAACTCCATTTTTGACTCAAGTCTTATATACAGTTTGCTTAAAATAGTTTTTTCTTTTCTCGTGTTTTCATATACTGTAGAGACATGTTGGGCCACCAAATATTTCTTTGGTGTTCTGTAGCTAAACTTGCCATGTAAGCTAAACATTAGGCTTTATTGGATCTCATACAATGTATATAATATAAAGAAAATAAATAAAATAAAATAATGCAACCGAAAGTATATGGTAGCAGGAAACAGTTAATTTGCATTTTCCCTGAATTTATTGGTCATGCTTGAGATATACAGGTACAATAGTTTGGTTATGAAAAATACACCATTACATGTATATATATATATATATAAACTACATAAACTACATAACAATTACATTAACAGTAGAGAGATAAAATTTGTGTAATTCAAAACTTTCTTCTGTTTTCTGACATGCGATTATCATGGTTACCAACTGAAAAAATGATAAAATGCAAAAATACTGATAATTCAAGCCTAACACTACAGCTTTATAGAAGAAATTTATTTCTAAACACCTGTCTTAAAATCAATAACACTGTTATGGTTACAAACTACTTATACTTCAGCAAATTCCAACTCGGAAATCCTTCACAACATGACCACGTGTATACACTATAAAAATCACTGCTTTTAAAGCTAGTTTTCGGTGCGTAGACACAGATTCGTGACTGCCCAAATAGTAATCTCTAACAGAAAGCTAAAATTTTACTTTGAAGAAAAAATGAAACTCCACATTGTCAACATCAACATGACAAGACCAATTTTAGCAAGGATATATTTTTTTAGATTTTAATTAAAACCTTTGTATTGGGGTAATTTAATGAACAAAATTATCGCCATGGCCACACAGAGAAACAGTGTACTGCTATCTATGTAGTGTGTCATCGGGAAAATATGGGTCTGATCTCCATTTTTTCTTATTTTATATACGGCGCGCGTACAATTGTAATATTCGCCGTACACAAAATCCGTGTAAGGTACATGTTTCCTATAACTGATATTCTTGTTGATTTTTTAACTAAAATGAAGCTTAAAGGAAAATGGTACGTGTATAGAGTATTGATAAATGCTGTGATTTTTTGGACAAGCGATCATTTTGGTACAAACGTGAACCATTTAGAGTTTGCACGTGATCACTTTTACATGTTATGGTTTACCGGTATAGGGATTATTATAGTTCCTCTATACCGCACTCTGTATCCACACATAGAAGATAACACAACCAAAAGAAGATTTAATTGTAACGTTTCGACAACAACACGGTAATCAACTTCACCAGACAAATGAGCAGCGTGAAGCTCACAATTCCTTATCTCTATACACTATTATTCGCATTGATCATGTGTCTGATGAAAGTGACCGTGTAGTCATAGAAACGACACATTAATCTCCCACTTGTTGTATTTTAAGAACTTCTATTTTATTGACATCATGAACCAGACTGAGAAAATGATCCGCAACTTCGTATATTAATTGTTTTATCATTACAAAAGTTGCCATTATATTTTCCATGCTTCGACCCTGGCCCAATGCATACCATTTAAAGATAGTTTTTGTTTGGGACGATACAACTTTTTTTTTTCAGGGAGACTTTCAAAGTTTTGAAGATCTAATGGTAAAAATAATGTCACTACATAGTGTAGACTCGGTGAAATTGATCTCGAAAGATACTCATAAAAGATAAAATATTCATTAATCTATTCTTGCTTAAAATACATAGACCCAGCTAGGACTATTTTTGTATTTCAACAACAATATCAAAGCGTTCCATTTCATGTGTATAGAGTCAGGTTTTTCAATGTACATACACCTGTACCATAACCAATATGATGTTTTCCGGAAAACAGGGCACGTTACTGCTTTCTGACTTACACTACAAAGTCTGAGTTGTTTCTGCGTTTGTTGTTGAAACAAACGAGACGTAAGCGTTTGTAAAACATTGAAAAATTGAAAATTTCATCAGAACTCTGCACATTGAGGTGCCTAGCATACGAAGTAAATATTACAGCTGTCTCTCTCTCTCTGTTTTCTGCAAAAGATCTAAAGGAGAGTAAGTTTCCATCATCAAGGTATATATTTTAGATGACTATGAAAATGCTACAAACTATTTGATAGCAATCGATTATGTTAGGGACTTTTCCTTTAGCTATTTGTATGAAAGTTAGATCCTAGTGCCATTTAAAAAATAATAAATTATGACAAAGATATCAGTCGTTATAGATGTGAAATTTATATGACTAATTTTAGACCGGGCATGTCCGAAACAACGAAAAGAATGTAGCGCTTGAACAGACACTGATAGGTACTGTCATATGCTTGCTACGCTGTGTGATGTTTTTCTATTATTTTCTTTTACACTTTTAATACGCAAACTATTTCTGTCTAACGCTTAGTTATGCTACTTTCATTGACATGTTATAAACAAATAAGTACTTTGTATTTACTTTAATTTTCACATTCCAAACTTTGCAAAAATATGACATGTGTCCGTTTACTTTACAATAAGCTTAAACAGGTTATATATATTGTATGTTGAGGAAATGAGAACTGAGAAACAAAAGTGATATCTTTTGGATGTGGGCATTATGCCAAATTGTGTGGTCTTTAAAAACGATTGTGGTGAATTTATATATAAAAAAAAAAAAAAGAATCATAACAATCAAAGTATACTTGAATTTCCACCTTGTTTGGTGATTTGTATATATCTTCCAGTTTGGAAGGCGAGAAAAAATACGATGTCAGTTCATATTGTATGCAAGTAAATCCATCCTGTTTTAACAATAGCTTTCACATGCTGTACATCAAACTAATAGCACCATTGCATTGTCACTACTTTAAAGGAATGATTTCCTTTGAGAAACCATATGCCTTTGATGGTGGATCTTTAATCAGCCATACATGATACTTTACAATCTTGATCAAGTATGTATTGGAAATAAAGAAAACACCGGGTCCTGTACTTGTGATTACTTTTTTCATAAATATAACTTGTGTATATATATTTTTTTATTATTTATACGCACAAATGAGATAGGCATAAATTACTTCTATCCACACTTATATACACACAAACACTAATGACAGTTGTAATCAACATGTACAGTGTACATTAAGTAGTGATAGAGTGACTGGCTAGGGACTGAAGAATTACTAGTCTAACCACAGTGGTGACAGGCTGTTTTTCATGACTCCTTCCTATTACACTAGAACTGAAATGATTGGTAAGGATATTTCATTGTAATGATAACATCTGTTTTTGACAGGTATTTGAAATCACAGCTATCAATCTTTAGATGACTGCCATGGAGTTCCAACCTGTTATTATGGCTGCTGGTCGTGGGACAAGAATGAATTACCTTACCTATGCCAAATATCCGAAGGCCTTGCTTCCAATCGGCAACCTTCCTATGATACTGTACCCTGTTTACATGCTAGAAAGGGCTGGCTTTGAGGGTATGTGTCTTCATGTACACCATGTCATTTCTGCATTTTATCAGATTTTTGGCTTAATATATAAATACTGTTAAATAAATATTCAAAATTAGGAAAAGAAACATATTTTTTTTAAATAGAATCCTGTAGATATTACATAATGTAAGAAAGAGATAATTTCCCAAAATGGTTAGTTACTAAAGATGAAATGAAGGAAGAGACAAATTGTCATATTGTACTGTATTTGTCAAGAAATCTCTATGATATAAAAGTGTGTGTATATACATATTTTACCATTTACAGAGGCCATTGTTGTAGTCCTTGATTCCCAGGCAGCAGAAATACGTAAAGCCTTAGTTGGAGTGAAGCTCAGATTAGACTTGGTGAGCATACCTGATGCAAACTTCTGGGGCACTGCTGACTCCCTGAGATACCTCAAGGACAAAATCAAGGTAGTCATTCTTTCATAGTATTGTACCTTATAGAAATGATCAATGAAATCTGACACCGTAATTCTGCTAATGTTCCCATGAAAGTTTTTCTTTGTAGTTTAATATAGGTACATATGTACATGTGTTGTAGCAGCACATTTTCATGTTGTAAAAATCAATATCCTTTATGGTAAGGTTCAACAATAACTAAGTAATCATTTTTGTTAAATTTTAATTAAGACTTAAATATTTTTGATAATATTTGAAACATATCATAAAAGAATTAAAAGTAGTGATTGGACAATGAACATGTATAATTCATTAAACTAATTGTTAAATCTCAACTGATCAATGATTAATTATAATTTTTATAATCAATGATCAATACTTTTAGGCAAAACAAATTTCATATTACGCATAAAAAAGATGCACATTTCTTATTGAAATTCTGGGTTAGTGAAATATTTTAGATGGATATTACAGACATTGAAATATTACTGCAATGGAGAAAGCATTCACTTTTCATGGATATCAAACACACAGATGATTGTTTTAATAATCGTCTACATTGGATAGCCTATCCAATTCTAGTTATTAATAGGAAATGGATTTGTATTGGATTTGCAATAATCAATCAGATAAAAACAACAGCATTACTAATGGTTGATGGTGAAAAAATATATGTCTTGGTTGATCATGGATAACAAGAGTCTTTGCTTTTGGAAAACAAGGTTATCATAATCAATTAGAAATACCAGCTAGGTGTATATGAAGGGAAAAATCAGATAAAAGTTAATCACAGTGTAAGAGAATGCTGCTATAGTCTGTTTTATGTATGACTTCACAGAGAGACTTGCTGATCATCAGCTGTGACCTGATAACAGACATTTCCATCCATAAAATAGCCAACATCCACAGGAAGTATGATGCAACAGTGACTATGTTGCTGTCTCCAGTTCCTTCACAGTACAGAGATGTTCCCACCCCTGGGCCAAAGGCAAAGAAAAGATCAGGTACCAACAGAATGGTCCACAATACTTTCTTTCCGAAGCTAGTCATAGTATACATGTACATGCGTTATAAATGTATATGTATGCAATATCTATAAGTAATGACATATTATTAATATCGTTAATCTGAAACATTAGGCAACAGAAGGCTAATCTACTTCGGGGCGGGGCCAAAGAGGGTTATTTGGTAATATTGATTAATGCAACTTCTTCTCTGGAATTAAGCCATGAATATCACTTATATTGGACTGGAAGCATTACTGGGTAATGGGAATTCAAAATTGTACCAATGATGGGCTAACCCCTCAGAGTACTTAGGGTTGGGGCCAAAGGGGGGTAGTTTGGCTGTGTTGCTGTGAACATCTTCTTCAGTAGACTTATGCATGGTATATCACTCTTATTTTATAAGAAATTTTCAGGGATGGTAGAGATTGATTCAAAACTGTACAGATGAGGGGTAAAGGGCACTCAGTTTTGAATGTAACAGTTTGAAGTGAAAGCTTAGATATCCAGGTGAGCAATACTTGCTCTATGTGCCTCTTGTTTACTGGAAGAGCTTCCTGAAAATCATAATCACTTGAATGATTTACATGAAGCTATGATAAGTGTTGTCAGAAGCAAAAGCATTGACATGATTTAGATCAACTTGGTGTCAAAATGATCTCATTGTCTTGTGATCTAGAGTGTATCTACACTTCAGTGATTACAATCAATGGGAGACCATGATATAAAATGTACAGAATGTAAGTAAATATCTAAAATATTTTTATACTTAATATGATGTTTTTCTTTCAGAGCGAGATTTCATTGGTTTTGATGAGCAAGGGGATAGAGTTTTATTCATGGCATCTGAAGCTGATTTAGATGAACATATAAAATTTCGAAAATCAATGTTAAAAAGGTGAGAACTATCATTGGAGACCACATTTTAGAGGGATAGCTTGTATAATATATTTTCCATCAACATTTATGGTACATTTTGTTTTGTGTATCTTACTTAAAAGTTGGTACCTATTGGAAAGGCTAAATTTAATTTGTTGATATATGAAAGTATAGTGCTTATAATTAATATTATTGACATTGAATCCTGTTTTTTACCTCGATGAATTTGATATTGTCAACTTTTAAACGGTCTTTTAGATCCATGTAGCAAGATGACTACACAAATATACTCTATATGTATATACACACACCAATTAGAAGTGTTTATCTATAAACAAAAGGCAAATTTAAAAAAGTTATATATAACTGTATTATGCCAATGGGTAGGTGATTACAGTCCTGAACAAATTATGTGTACAAACACCCAGAAAAATTAAGGATTCTACAGTATGTTGTAAGTATGTATTGAGCCTAGGTGATCATGTACATGCTGCAGTTAGTAAAGTATAAACAAAGAAAAATTTAATGACTGTTGATTTGTTTACAGACATCCCTGCCTGAATATAAAATCAGGACTAACAGACTGCCATATGTACCTTATGAAGAAATGGGTGGTGGATTTTCTTGAATCGAGGTAAATTTATTGATTTAACTTGTACCATCTTCATTTGCATTACATGTTTTTGTCACCTTTGTTGGAAGGGATTGAAAGAAGACAGTCAGGTAGATACCCTGGTACCTGTAAGTACTGTAAATTCAGGGCTATTTCTTTTGTGTGAATAAGGAAAGATTAGTTATTTTCATCAGATAGATAACTGAATATGTGCATCTGAGGTAAAAAAAAAGTGCTATGATTTAAGCTATTTACCTGGACAAAGTTATCAAATTGTTTGTTTTCTGTCTTCCTCAACAGTAAAGCTATATCATCTATCAGAGGAGAACTTATCCCATACTTAGTTAAGAAGCAGTTTTCCAAACCGAAAGCCAGTTGTGATATGGAGAAGACCAATATGTCGGTTGTGTCAGAGGATGTTCGACCAGGTATGGTTTTATATACCCACAGGTAAATATATTAAGTAAAAATCTTGTGCATGGAAAGTGAAGTTCAATACTACAGACAATAGTTTTCTTTTACAAGTATAACATGCTACCCAGTCCTGGATGAATGGAACAAAATTGATCCTTTTGGTTAGACATGGCATTCTCTTTACCCTTGACAGATGTGTATGCACTTTTTTTTACTGTGAGAATTCCTGGTTTGACTTAAGGCCATGTCACATCAACAATGTAAAATATTGGTATAGTAACAATACATATATGCACAGGGTGAGAGAACAGAAAAGCATCTCAACCCATGGGGTAAGATCATGAAGGTGCAATCATTTGGCAAACCTCATGTTGGCCTGTTGGGTTAAGATCACACTTCCTCATTGTCATGGGGTGAAATGTTTTATTAACCCCTCGCTAGTAAAAGTATGGATGTCTCTTTCTATGAATAGATTATTTTCTGTCTTTGCTATTACTCAGGCAGTATTCATAAGTGTGTCACAGGGGAGATAAATAAGACAAACTGAAGTATTTTATAACCTAAAAGTGCTTATAATTTTCTTTAACGTGATGTTGTTACAGTCATGCTTCAGAATAGTAATTGATTACCTAAGTGTATTTGAAATAGATTTTTCTGCTACCAGAAAATATACATGATTTGCTCTACAGCACACATTCTCTTCCAACCTGATTGCAATCCTATCTCTACATAACATGAAATTTAAATACTTCATAATTTATTTTGTAATGTGGACTTTTGTTTTGTTTTAGATATATTCACATTTTCCAAAGTAGATGAAATAACTGAGAAAATAAGAGAAATGTCAACGTGGATTGATCATAGAGGTGACATGGAAGATTGCTTCCATCAGAACCCAATCAGATGTTACGCACACATACAGACAGATGGATTCTGTGTAAAGGCCAACACAGTAGCTGCCTACAATGAGTCCAATAAACAGGTATGTCACACAGTATATATGTGACTTACTAATTTCTACTGGAAAACACATAGTAGGCTTGAATGTTTGAATTTTGAATGGGATTGCTATATTTCAAACAGAACTCTAAGTAATTAAAATTGTTTCTTTAAAAGTAAGGGATGGATCTTTCTCAAATTTCATATGTAGGTTCCCCTGGTCTCTTGATGTGCCAATGTAATTTTTGCACTGATCAGAAATTAAAAAAATGGTCAAAATGGATTTTGACTTTGATAGTTTGTTATCGCTATTTCTTGAGAAGTACTAGATGGATTTTTCTTAAATTTCATATGTATGTTCTTATTTGTGTCTTTTTGATTTTGGGTTCGATCAGAAAAACAAAATGGCTGACAGTAAGCCATCTTGGATTTTTACTTTGAAAGATTGTTATTGCTACTTCTTAAAAAGAACTGAATGGTTATCTCTCAAATTTCATATATATGTTCCCTTTGGCCTATCCTTGTGCCTGTTTGCATTTGGGACTGATCAGAAGAAAACAAAATGGCTTCAAGGTGGGCATTTTGGATTTGGCAGGTAAAGATTATAATCGCTGTTGCTGCAAAGGAATGTTCAAATGTATTTTCATTAAGAGCAAAAACAGAGAAGAGGAGAGGAAAGAAGGGAAAAGATCCAACTTTCAAACTTATAAAGATCAAACAATGATGGGCACCAATATCCCTCTGGGATCTCTTGTTTATTATAATATTTAAAGAAGTTGACTTTTTAAAATCAAGAATAAACAGGTGAGGTATTTATCTTTTTAGCAGTTTGATATGTAACTGTACCTTGTACTTTTGAATTTTTTGTTCATTTCCAGTGGATGTAACTGTCAAAAAGAGTTATGTTAGCATTATTTTCTTATTGTACCAGGCCCCACTTGTATAAAACATCTCAACTTGAGATTTCCTCAAGTCGAGATTTTCCTCAGCTGATATCTCCTCAAAAACGGCTTGTATAAAATTTTCTCAAGGAACAGGAGGAAGTCATCGGCTAGGATGTCCTGAAATTCCATGAGGAATTTTCATACAAGATATTTTCAAGGAGATATTAGCTGAGGAAAATCTCGACTTGAGGAAATCTCAAGTTGAGATGTTTTATACAAGTGGGGCCAGGTATATGAAATTATTTTCTTATTGTGAAAGTGTAGGTCTCTTCTTCATGCCCTTTCTATTTTATGGGGGAGAATGTGGTGTTAGACATGTCTATCTATCCCAATCTGCCCTGTTTAAATTATAATGTCATACCTTGAACCTCTCAATTTGGTTTAAACTGACCTCATAGCAACATAAAATCAATTTCTACACCTTACCATTCAGTTAGTACTTGATCATGTTAAAAGTGTCAAAGTTCATATTTGACACTTTCTCCAAATTCATCAAACAATGATACTTAAATGCATTGGAGTAGGGGTATTCATGTCTGGTAAACATTTTCAGTTTCTTTTAACCATGATTTTTCTTTTTCTTTCTTGTAGGTAATATTTTGTAAATCAGAGTTTTAGTCAATTAAAGTTTCATAATATATTTAGAATTATTGCACTTGATTAAGTTTTTCTATAAAAAAAAAGATGAGTTCCATCTGCTTTTAAATTAGATGATAAAATTTATTATTGATCATGTTTCTTGAACGTCTTTGGTAGATCCCAAGGGTTTTAGCAGAGTTAACTTGTGAAAAGGAGACTGTTGTGACTCATCCATCTACTTCAATAAAGGGCAAGTCACAGGTTAGTATGAACAATCAAAATGTCTCCTTCATTCTGGCTGATGAGACAATAATGTCAGTATATATGTAATGTCTTTTTTTCCGGAGATGCGAAATTATAAAACCAATTAATTCTCGGTAAATATGAATAATCAGACCATGTCTCCTTTGTTCTGACTGGTGAGACAAATAATGTTAATATCTGAATTGCTTATTGCTCTTCAGATGTGAAACCGATCAATAATAAAACACTCATGGAAACTACATATACATGCAATTACTGTTACTTATTTGTCAATGTGTTGAGATGTTACTTTTATTTTGAATGACACATGGCATTACATTACATTACAATACATTACAATACAGGTAGGTAGGTGGGGTCTTACCTCAATGTATAGCCAGTTCTTATAATTTTACTAATTTCTTTGATAAATAGGGTATAGGAGATGTCAGATATATGCATGAGTGATAGAGAATGTGATTTAGATATCAAATAATAGCAAGTTAAACTGCAGTGAAGCTGTTGCACCTACATGTATATTGGAATTGTCTAAACAGTCATGTACTTGATATCAATATTCATTAATTGATTATCCAAGTACAAGCATGACCAGGTGTCACAGTTTTTGTCATACTGAATTATTTTGTCGTATATTTTATGTTGAAATTGTAAATCAATTATAGAAAAAAAATTAGATATTGATTTGTTAAATATTTGAAGGTTGGAACAGACTGTTTGGTTGCTGAAGGTGCTCAGATAGGGGAGAAGACTTCAGTGAAGAGGTCCATTATAGGCAAACACTGTACAATTGGAGACAAGGTCAAAATTGCCAACTCTGTTATCCTAGATCGTGTGTCTATACTGGAAGGGTAAGACATCATATTGATTGTTTCTGTACAACATAAAATGTATGTGACCTATGTTAATTGTTTGGAGATACAATATCATATATAAATGGATATGATATTGTTGTGACTAACTCTTAAGTCTCCAGCTTTGCCGTTGAACATCAACATCTTTCACAAGTATCTACCTGGTAGTTCTAACCCAAACTGCAAGGTGAAAAGTAGCTGCTGGTGTAATTAATCAGATAAAAATATGATTTGTACATGGTTAGAAGTTCGTAAGGAAGTACCAAGGAAGAAATTCTACCAAATTAAAACAGATTAGTCAAACAGAGAGTTGCATCATGGGGCATGATTAAAACAGTGAAAAAGAACAAAAGGCATACTTATTCAAAAATCTAAATGTCATTCAAGAAAGCACAGCTTAATGTTGAGATAATATACTTTATAGGATGATCAGTTCCAAAACTAAGAAATTTCCAAATGATAGGAAAACTCCATAAAAGCTGTCATATCAAAATGCCATTTAATGACAGCATCTTGTAAGTAAATCTTCCAAGTAGTTTCTAAGAGATTAGTTGAAAACCGAGAGGAAATTTCTTGGTCAAATTTTGCATTGGTCATGATAGGTTGACGAATCCTTACATAGCATGTTACATCCTGTCAGAAGATTTGATAGGGTTATAGAAATTGAACTGTGCATGTAGTATATAATTAGACATTAATTTTCATGGTGAGATTTGATTTGTTCTGTTAGTAGCTCATATGTTTGACTTTGCAGATGTTGTAGGCTGTATGATGTTTGACTGGATTTCTTTCTTGGAAAAATGAATTATTAGCAGATTCCTTTCCTTGAAAACAGAATCTTTGACTAAGCTTCTTTCCTTGAAAGTTGAATGTTTGAATGGGCTCTTTTTCCAGTCCTTACAATGTTAATAGCGTTTTGGCTGTATTCCTTACAGTATCTTTACGAGAGCTGAATTCTTGGACATTCATTTAAATTATGAATACCTGCTTGATGGTGAACAACTTGTATATCTCAGTCTGATAAATCAGCTAATGACCTTTGCTGATATCAGTCAAGAAAGAAATATTATCTTAGCAGAGATATTGAATATTTTCAGTTAATATTTCAATGTAAATTTGTATCAAAGTGTGTTCAGAAGCAAGAATGTTACAAATGTTTTGGATTCTAAACATAAAATAGCTTTAATTTAATACCTTCCTCCAACAAGACATGTAAATCAAAAGTGAAATTTTATTCTGTTACATTTTTAGATGCAATATTCAAGGCAGTTTGCTTGGTGCTCGGTCTACAGTGAATGAGAAATGTGAACTGAAGGATTGTATAGTCGGACATGGACAGGACATAAATGCAATGGGCAAGTTATATAAATTACACTGATCCTAATCTGAAGTATGGTTCTGATAACATCTGAAACATGTTAGCAATAAAATCCACTAATTCCTGAAATCCCTGGTGATGATGTTCCATCTCCTATTTACGTGTTATAATCTTTTATCTATGAAAGGTCAGTCAACATAATTTGTTTAGTATCACAGTCTTTTGTTTCTGTTACAGGTAAATTTACAAATGAGGCAATAACTGGTATCGACAGAATGATGGAGATCTAACAGGTGTTGTGTATTTGATGTCATTATGCTATAGGAGAAAGCTGTGTACAACCAGCATTAAGAGACTCAATCTACTGGGTATCTTTTTCAGACTTGTCAGGTGTCATTTACAACAACTAAGAATGAGAACTGTGAAAATATGATAGCGTTTTGAAAGCTCAATAAAGTGAAATTATGATAGTCCATTTGTGTATGGCTCTTTTTGAAGTGTTTAATAAAATTAATATTCAAAGATTCACTAGAAAATCTCATTACATTTACACAGAACGAATGTAAAATTGAAAAAACAAGATTTTTGATTATACATTTATCATTTTAATATCAAAACAAATCAACAAATAATAAAAGATTTTGCAAAGTATAACAGATATGAATGTATACATAGAAGATGAAGAAAACAGAAGAGATTTCTCTTGATATACACAGTTACATAAAATCCACCATTTTCAAAGGAACGTTTATATAGATTTGTCACATGCAGAAAAGTTTTAGTTGGTTTTTGGTTAGTAAAACGAGAATCAACATACAGTGTCTGTACTAGGCACAAGACAAAATGATTGGCACATTTAATTTGTAAAGTGAACTGGGTACCTGGTGACTTGACTACAAACATAAAGGCGACAACACTGACCAGGGGAGATAATCAGTCACTGTGTATATTACAGTACAAGGGTGAATTTTTTTAATTGTGGTATGTAGACTTTAGAGAAACAAATGTTTTATCCTTTCCTAAAATCATACAGTACCATCTGGTTATAAACTATGTAACTTGATAAGCTGTCAACATCTGAACTCTTCACATCTCTTACATTGTATTTCTAGAGTGAGCTGGAAAATTGATCCTCATATTCGAACTTGAAATTTAAGGTTTTACTAAAACTGTTTTGAGTCAAATGATCACTAGTGGTGTAATATCTGAATGACAGGTTGTTATCAATGTAATGATATTAAACTGATAATTTATTATCATATACATGCTGGTACATTTTTTTTCTAATCTTTAACAGAGGAATAAAGATTTCTATCAGAGTCATGCTTTCTCAGAATACGTCAGCGTATGAAGACAAAGATGTCTACTTTGTTTGATTGTATTGGTATTCAATACAAAGAATTTGAATCACTCAAATATATCTATTAGGTGGACAAAGTTCTGTTTCTATTTAGTGTAGGCCATATGCTGTTTGCTTCAATTATAAATGATCTGGTTCATCTTATATAAGTGTGTATAACAAAAATAAACTATCAAAGCAAATGTCCATTTTAGACCTCAAAGTTGTAAGCATTAGCCAAAACAATTTGATAGGTTAATCTGAACAGACATTCCTTTCAGTGAATACTTCTAAATACAACCAGTAATATAGCCAAAACTAAGCTGTAAAGTACCTAACTGGGATCTGCCACACTTCAATGTATTTACTTAGTTCTCTTTTTCTGTCTAAGTTTGATTTTATATACTACATTTATATCTTGTAAATAAAGCCTAGGTCACAAAATTTGGACAAATTTCCAAAAATACTAACTTACCAACACCTGAAATTATGGACTTCGGTCAGCTTGGGGTTTTTTTCGGGCATTTATGAGTGTCAAAATAAACTAAGTCAGTATGTCAACATCGCAACATTTCTCTTTAAAGAAATGATTGAGAAATTGGTTCCTTTTGGCATAAAAAATGTCTCTTTTTCCTTATCTAGTACAGCATAATTGAAAGAGTGAGATTTTCAATGATGCCTTAATCAGTTTAGGCTTCACAAGAAATTATGCTGAAGTTGATCGTTTTTAGCACTGCCCATCAAATGTCAACAAATCTGTGGTCCATGTTGAAAGTATACTGTTGCTCTACGTCATAAAATACCTAACATTTGAGTATATATCCACTGCTCACAATAAAGATGCTGAGTGGTTGAAAAATCTGTGTCTCTCACATCATATCGAGCAGAAAGTGATATTGCCAGTTAACTGTGGTTTAACGAAATCTAACATCGTGGTAGAATCAGACAGTGGTTTGCTAATGGTGGTTTCCAGTTGGCATCCTTGAAGTCCAGAAGAAATTTGTTAAATGTCAAACTGTCAATATTCTTCCCTGTTCCACTCTTCCTTTCTATGTACATACCTGTGGAAACAGAAAGACAAAGAATAGCATAATAAACAGCTTGTAAAAGATGAACTCTGATATTTTTCATATAGCAGATAAGATCAGTAGCTGTGTAAATTCAAGTTTTAGGTCATAAATAGACATGTATAAAAGACTATTACCTAATGCTGTTATTATTGATCTTATGTTTTCATTCATGACTCAAACTCTCGGGCCTTTATCTTCAGTGGTCAGCCCTTTACCTTTAGGGGTCAGCGTATTTTTCTTCTACTTTACTAGATGTCATGAAAATTTGGACTAAATGTACTTTATCTTGTTTCCTTATTAGTTAGCTAAAGAAAATTTTGATTATATACATAAAGTAACATGAAATGTTCATTGGAAGTATCAAATCAAATTCCTATGTAGGACTCTGCAACACTGAAAACTTTCCAATGCTTTTGCACTGTGAAACTATGAGCTTGCAACAACATTATTTAGTTTCATTGTCGTGTACAATTATTTTAAGTGACAGTATTATGAAATCAATCTTTCTGTACCTAAGTCATTGCGAGGAGGCAGTGAGATGCTTCTTGTCCAGTCAGGCTCCTCTAGATTCAACATTTCACGAATACTTTTTGTGATTATCTGAAAAAGACAAGGAAACATGTGTAAAATGGTGAGATATAAGAGATATATTCGATTGGGAAGGAACAAATACCACTAAACAAAAGCAAAAAAGGAGGATGTCCATGAGAAAGCCAAAGGCAGAAAGATTCTGCAGACAGTCTTGTGTTCTTGTTATATTTTTGTATATACAGCTATGTAATGGATAGATTAAAATCTCTGAATATCCATTGATATTGCTACATAAATAATATCAATGTTAAATGAACTCAACATTAACATTATTACAGAAATGTGATCTTCATTTACATTGTTAAGGCAATGTAATTACATGTACTTTAAACATTGTGACAGAAATGTAATCTTTGCTAACACTGGTTCAGAAATGTGAACTCATTCAGTGTGGTAAACATCCATCTGAATTTCCTTGCCTCAAACTTGTAATATGAACCTTCTCTGTGTGTATATAGTGGCAGTACAATACCATGAAAGAAATTTGCTAAAGTTTATTGTAAAATTAATGTGAATATAAAGATGATTCGTCGTATTAGGATGCCTGTCCAGAGGAACACTGTGAGAAGAAAATAAATCACAGATAGAAAGAAAGGAAAACATCGGGGATGAAGAATTAATCTAGTCTCTGCAATATCACCTTTATAGTCGACAAAGAAGCCCTTGATTCTGCAGAGGGCCCACTTTTTAGATGCCTTCCATGACATGAAGTGGTTTGAAATACAGAACCAGACCATATTTTTGGACTCTCTGATATCCCCTTAGCAGAGGAAAACAGAGATGCTGCAACCTGCATGGGCTACCACACAATTAGTTGCCTCTTATAGAATGTAGTGAGATGCAGCATGCATGCTCTTTCCCTGCTCCTGCACAGGTTGAATGAACTTTACTGTACTGTAAATTTTATCATGCATTTTAGATGGATATTTCATTCAAACTGTAATGTTATGAAGTGTAGATGGAGAGTAATGTAAATATCAAAATGGATATTTAACTGTACTTTAATGTTCTTAAGTATACATGGATGTTACAATTTCTCTCCATACATTGATAAAGGGTTAAATGTAATGTTTTTCCTATAACGCAATGTATTACTTTCCTTACCAAATGCCAAACTACAACATCAGCTGAACTCAAATCCACTATTATAGATTGCTGCTCAATGCTCCTTACATCTATTGTGATCGTAGGTATGAGTTTCTTATGAGTCATTTAATTGAACAGATTAATTTTTCATTAGTTCTGATTAACGTTCATTGACCGAGAACAATGTGAAAACGCTTATAGAATGTTGAAATAAATCAGGTTTAGACTAATGGCTGATTGTGGTGTCGAGTAGTTCCAATGTATTTCCCAAGTGAGTAGCTCCCCTGTGGTGTATGGAAAGAGTGCATTACTATTTAAATGCTTCTTTGAATGACAAGAAATATCTAGTTTAATAGGAAATGTGTGTTATGAAATTTATATAAGTGTTTGTTTCATGTGCATTTGGGTGAAATAGTGAGTTAAGTGTAACCCTGGTAAAATACTAGCCGCAATATACCACTCGGCTAGAGAGAACTTCTCTTTAGCTCGATTGGTTGAGCATCAGACTAGTACACCTGGGGTCCCGGGTTCGATTCCTAGCGGATGCATTAAAATAAATAATGACCTCTGTTACATAAGTACATTCCATGATTTGTCTGGATAAAATTTAATGATTCATTCCACTTCCTATTTCCTTCAGCTAATGTTTTAAATCCAAGACTTAAAGGTAGTTTGAGTGTATCATCATTGTTTTTGATTGTTTTGTATAGTATATACTGTGTATACTGTCATCTGTGAAATGCCTTACCATCACATGCATTTTGGAAAGACGTTTACATTTTATGTATACAAACAGATTCCTTGATGTCTTACCTTGATATGTTCAAAATCTGTGATACCAATATTTGGTAGAGCTTTAGCCTCGATATTGACAAGTTTCCGTCCATTTATCAAATTTGTTGCAAAGCAAGCCTGTAAAAAGAGACGAACAAAATATCAAAATGAAATGAAACATTAAAAGCCTGCAAACACCGTTTTCAAAATAATACATTTAGTCGAACTTTACCGAACAGTGATGGATTCGGGGGACAGGTATTTTTGCATATAAACTGCAATTTCACTGCACTTGATTATCACTTTACAACCACATGATTGCCATGGTCTAGCATGAGGTTGTTCCCATATTCAAACTGTATCTCAGATTATGTTTATTGTATTGCATCAATATACTGATGTTTAAGTACATCATAGAGTCTAGATAAAATCTCGTCGAACACTAAATACTGCGACGATACGGTAAACCACCAGGAGACGAGCGGCAAACTGGAAAGAAAAGACTTAATTGCTCAGATCACTAGTCAGTAAGGAGCTTCGGTAGAATGGTGTTCCGTATTTATTTTATGAGAATGCCTCATACTCTTAATACTTTTACTCGTTTAAACGTGTATTACCTTATAATACGGAAATCCTAAGTTATCTATCCAGTCCACAACTTGATCTACTGTCCAGTAAAGGCATTGTGGCACTTGCTCATTCTTCAAATCCTCAACGGTGCTTGTCATGGCAGCCATGATGTATACGTCTCCATGGATCGGTCACGTGACATAGCTGACCAGAGTTACCTCTCTTCGATCAAGATATCGAAGTCAAGCTGACAATGACTTCCCACCGATTTGTTCGTCTTTAATCTACAACGATAAATGACATGTAAATTACTTTATTTTTCCTCCGAGTTTTGACAAAAGACGAAAGTCATATTGCTTTAAATTGTTTGGGTTTTTTTTTTTATTCAAAAGGAACTTCTTTTTACTTTTCTATTTGTTTGACCACAGAAAAAAATGCCAACATGTCAGCATATATGTACTCGTAATCCCAACATAAATTCAATAGAACTAGGGCAAGATCTGAAATTTGAGTATTTGAAATTTGAAAAAGTGCAAGAAGAGCAACACAAGTTGTTCCGGAAGAGTCTGCAACACTTGCCATGTCAATTAATGTCACGTTCTCAAATGAGAACATGATATATCACAACGGAACCAACAAGCCAACTAAGGACCATCAAACACGTCTGTTTCACATTGCACAAAGAAACAGAGTGTTTCTCAGTGAGATCACTATGACGACCGTAAAAAAAAACTCATAATTTTCATCGGCCTTCATCACTTGAAACCTTGTGTTATGAGTTTGTCCGTCAGTTGACGACTTGTACGAAAATCATGATAGTGGGAACAGGCATTCGATATAAAATCAGCTGCGACAGGTAAACACCATAGGGTAGGGACACAATCATATAGCGATGCAGAAACGGAAAATTCACAATAGGGAAGTCAAAAGCATCACGCTTTGGTGGAAAGCTGTCCATGTTGGTTTCGTTGTAGAAGATCATGACGAGCGGCTAATTTAGAAGAGTCTGGCGTGTCATTGATTTCCACATATACAATGGATATCGTCAATGATTTTTTTTGCTTAGTTCTGAAGGCGAAATTAAACGACTTTGAAAAGTCGCTGTTACCTGTTTTGATAAGCTCTGCGGTAAATTCAGTCTCGTATGAAAATACAAAAACAAGTCAGCCAGCAGAGAGACACAGTTAGTTCCCATATTCATGCCATAAGTCTGTTGGGAAATCTTACCACCAAACTCGACGAAGATGTTGTCAACCAGAAACTCGATCATTTTTATGATTTCGTACACCGTATATTTCGTTTTTGATTTGGGTTGGGTTTTCTTTTACGAAATACGCTTGGGGTAGTAACAAAGTCTGATATATGGTCCGTTGTTTGACCTCCCACAGGTTAACCAATAATTTGGAAATGAAATTTATTACTGAACTCCCGATTTTCCCACTTTCTTTACGACAAAGAATGATGTTGAATGATTTCGCATCCCATTTAGTTCATTTACGGAGTAGAAAAGTAGGTCTTATATCATAACCAGTAGAAGATTAGAGTGTGACGTTTCGATAACTACACGGTCACCTTCATCAGACAAATGACCGGTGTGGATCGTACTAGCAGTGGTATCGACCAACCTTTTCCCGACTTCTGTTTAATCCTGTGTACACTGATTGAACGAGACTGTTAATAGATTATAGACCAAAATAAACACACAAGATGGTAACAATGTACTGTAGTCAAATCGGCTAGGTTTTGTTTAACGCTTGGTCATAGATGTGCGAGAGTCTGTGGTCCCCTCTTCAATGTTAAGTACTTGCCCGCTGCGGCGTATCAAAATGGCTTCCTTAACCAGTTGCCTGAAAAAAAAAAGTTTTTCTAGTGTAGCACAGTCGGGCTTTAGGGTTTTCTTCAACAACCAACCGAACCAGACGATATCATTCCATATTTAGTTTAATCACAGTACACGCATGGCTTTCGAGATCCTTAAAACAATACCAATAACATATTACATTACATTGTAAAACTCGTATTAGAACACATCCTAAAGCAAACACACTTACGCACAACATACAGTGACATTCACATTCACGTTACTGAAAATACATATTTGCTCTGTAGTACAAAAACTGAACAATAACTCTAATACGTAGCTGATTACAAATATGCTACACACTACTTTAATTTACATGGGACATAAATTACCTAAACCAAGATCTAAATAGAAATGGTGGATTGCATATCGTACTCGATCAGGTGAAAATATAGATTAATCTAAAATAATTGAATAGCTGCTTTGAAATAGATTTATAAATTATCCTTATGAATAATTTGTATAGATATAAACAATTTGCAATATAAATGGAAGACTGACCCCGTGTATGGCACGACGGACATCAAAGTAATGTAAGAAGAAGACATGTCTTTCCGGAAAAAGGAAGATAGAATTGAACAGCGCATGTCACAGGTCAAGTGGTCAGTCATAGTCCAGAACATGTACAATATGTAACCAACAATAGTATGCCTATTCCGGGCCTACTAGATATATACATTTGACAAAACGAAAGTATCCGATGCTTACGCGAATGGACAAGAAAGTAACCGAGCTTGCACAAATGACAACGAATAAAAGATAGCTATAATAACTAAAACAATCAAATGTATTACAGGGTGCCACATTAGTCTACTATTTCGGAATTTTCCCAGTCCATGATATGATTGTTAACTCATTCGAGATCTTATTGATGGGAGGCTGCATACCAAGTTGCATAAACAAATCTCTTCACATTTACTATAGTTATCGTGTTCTCAAAGAACCACAACTCTGCATCTAACAGTTGAATCGGCACCATTTTCGAACTCATTTGAGATCTGGTTTATTTAAGGTTCCAGACCAAGTTTGATGAGAGTCCGTGTTTGTTTAAGTCAATATACGACCCACGACGACAGGTGAAGAATAAACGCTACCTCAAACGATTTCCAAAAGGACCTCTTTGTAAAATAAGTTTTACAACAAGACGGGATTTCTTATATACTAAACAAAAAAAGAAAGGTAACACTACTTTAGTCTGTGATTAATTAATTAATCCCTTCATAAATCCTTACCAATCATGTACGAATAAAGACATTGATCAATTCTGATAAAACTGCAGTCATGGTTCATTATAAAACTTTGCGTTCAGTTGATTTTATTCGACTGTAAAGGACGTTGGGATCAATTTCAAAGGTAACACCATTAGTAACGGGTATGGCCACCGTTTGCGAAGTAAACAACATTGCATCGTCGTCGCATGGAACTCGTAAACCGGCGGATAATTCGAGGAGAGATGTTGTTCCATTCAGCGATCAAGGCTTGGGTCAGCTCCTGCAAATTTGACTGCTGATTTTGACGTTTTCTCACGCGTCGCCCAAGAACGTCCCATACATGCTCAATCGGTGACAAATCAGATGATTTAGATGGCCAATCTAACACCTGTACCTTATTCTGCTGCAAGAAAGTTCTGCTGACGCGACTGGTGTGCGCTGTTGCGTCATCCTGTTGAAAAATGGCGCCAACGCCATGGCGTCTTAAGAATGGCAGAACCACTGGTCTTGAAATATCGTCCCGATATCGAATGCCGGTTAAATTGCCATTTAACACAACAAGCCTGGTACGAGTCCCCCACAAATACCACCCCAAACCATTACACTTCCGCTGCCAAAGCGGTCCCGTTCTGCGAAGCAGCAGTTCGCAAAACGCTTCCCTCGTCGCCTCCACACTCTGCGCCTTCCGTCACCGTGTTGCAGACAAAACCTGGACTCATCTGAAAACAGAACATTGTTCCATTGTCGTAAGGCCCAACGACGGTAAACACGGGTCCAGTTACGCAGATTATTACGGTAACGTCGCAACAAATTGGGTCCAGTGTAGGGACGCCGCGCTTTCAATTAGTAGGCCCTCAACCTGTTGCGGACTGTTTGGGGAGACACACAACGCCCAAACAATGTCCTTGTAGTTTCTACTGCGGTTACGAATCGATTGTGCAAGTGTATCAATCGTATACGACGGTCATCCCTAGCGGTCGTTTTACGGGGTCGGCCGCTTCGGGAACGATCGGATGTTGACTCAGTTTGGTTTAAACGACTTACCAACTGGCAAATTGTCTTAACACTGCAACCAAAATGCCGTGCAACTCGACGGCGAGACTCCCCAGCCTAGATCATGCCTACAGCCCTTTCTCTCTGTACTTGTGACAGCCGGGGCATAATGATAAAGTTGATAGATAACAAGATTCGGTGATTTCTAAGTCCTAAGGATCTAAGGAACAGTTGTCAGTTTGAATGTTTATGAAATTCAAGCGAAGATACAAGTTAGTCGCAGAAAACCTCGTGCAGCTCTTTCGCTTTGGATTTTGTAATGTAAAACATTACCATTTTCTAATATTGCACAAACGTCATTTTGTTTTCACTCATTTACAGGTATTCGCCAAGTAAACATGTTATGTTTACCTTTCTTTTTTGTTGAGTATATGTGTTATATATAGGCTAGATTCAGGCATAACAGATGATAATAAACATTAACAATTACTACTAAATGAAATGTCAAGTAAATGATTATCGGACAATGATTGATTCTGAATACCCAAACATAAACTGGGACACGTGGAATACACAAGGCAATAATTAAGCAATAGCTGGAAGGAATATAACAGAGCCCTATCAAATCAAATAAGAAAGCTAACTCGCAATTTTAGGAAAGACTTTGAACACGATATGATAACAAAAGCGAAATGAAATCCTGTAGATTTTATAGAGATAAATCAATGCCATGTCAAAAGTGACAACCTATACCGTATACCAGAGAATAAGAACTCTCCTAGGGTTACAAGGGATAAAGAAAGGCAGGTATTCTCTCAAACTTCTCTCAGGAATTTTCACTAATGCTAATATCTGAATTGGGGAAAGTATGCTTATGTTAATTTTAAAAGAGAGGGCTTTCGTTGAGACATATGAAGGGGTTGTAGAGATAGGAACATAAGTCAAAGCTATTAACAACGGTGTTCTGCAAAGGATTTGGGAGAGGTACATTTCAAGAACGTTCCTGAACCCATCAAAGTGTGTATGTATGTGTGTGTATGTGTGTGTGTATGTATGTGTGTGTGTGTGTATGTGTGTGTATGTGTGTGTGTGTGTATGTGTG